GAGTCCAGCAGGTCTAGACTGTGGTGACCGTGAGTGTGTCACTGCACTCCAGCCAGGGTGACAGAGTAAGACTCCAACTCAAAAAAAAAAAAAAGAAAGAGATATATTACTTTATTTTTCTTTTTTTATTTTATTTTAAAGATGTGGTGTACAATTCAGGATTAGGTATACAAGTGGACATCATAGAGGCAAAGTTTAGGCCTCCCTTTTGTCCCCACTTTGCCTGGCTTGAGATAATACTTCTATTTCTGAACATATTATTCCTGGAAATTATACTTTATAGTCTTAATTTGCATGTATATGCCTATAAATCTTAATATAATACAATCAGATTCATCTAATCTAGCCAGAGACATTAAACTAGAATGTATTATCATAGTGGGTATGTAATAATTAATGTCCAGTAATATACAATATCAAATAGAAGGAGGAATTTTAGTAAAGTCTCATGAGAGTTAAAAGTAAACACCTTATGTAATAGAAGAGCTTGCTGTTCTCTGTGTTTACTGCATAAGTTACTGCACTTTTAGCTATTGTTTTTATTGTGGTGCCATGTGTCTCTACTCTCTAGTTAGGAAATGAGTGCTTTAGAAAGCACTATTTGATTAAGCATCAAAAGATCTGAATTCTGGTAACTTCTTGAGAGTGGGGGAAAAACTGGAATTTCCATGAAGACAGGAAGCATTTCTATTATTACTAGCACTAAGTTCTGAATGCCTAGCAGGGACATTGACTGTAGAAGCTGTGCAATAAATATTTGCTATATAAATGAATGAATGAAAGAATGAATGAAGTCACTGACTTTTTGTGTCTCAGTTTTCTCATTGAAACATGAGGGTGATATATATATATATACCTTGTCTACTTTGGTATGTCATTAGAAACATGAGGGTGATATATAGATAGATAGATAAGATATATATATATATATACACACACACCCTGTCTACCTTGGTGTATGTCATTAGAAATTCCTGAGATACTCTAGGTCAGATAAAAGAAAGTTATTTTTATTACTAGCAGTAATAAAATTTAAGTTAAATTTTCATGATTTTAACAGAATATTGGTCTACTTCACACCAGCACTCTGTAAGTCTCGATTGATTTTTCAGGATAGTTGAAGGACAGAGAAAGTAAAGATAACATTTTGAAAGGACTAACTTATAAGACATTGTTATTTACTCTTCATTTATGTTATTGGCACAGAGCTAAGATATGAATAATTTCAATGGTACATAATTCAATAGTTATATGCGCTTGACATTGAAATATGTTTTTGTATTTTTATTTGAATGGAAGATTGTCTGGTGTTCTGGTAATTGAACTAAAACAAAATACTAAAGTTATAATGGCAACGTCTGGTTCAGGATTTCCTCATCTGTGTCCCTGCAACTTAATCCATACAGACTGACATTGCTCTGGCTCTGGGCAGTCTTTTTTTTTTTTTGATCTCCTGAATGAAGGAGTCGTTTATTTAACAAAACTCAGTGGGATACCTACTGGGTGACTGACACAGGGATAGAAAAATGAGTATGAATGGAGAAACACACACATACCATATCCACACTACCATGTGATGAGCACTAAACTACATTCCCTGGCTTCTCCCCTCCCACCCAGAGATAACTTTGCCTCCAACAACATAAGGACTTGAAAGTTTTCAGATATTAAAGAATAGTCTGTTCTTTTCCACATTAACTGGTGAATAACTGGAGAGTTTCAACTGCTTTTTTAAGGATATTCAAGTAATGAAAAATAAAAATTAAAAAAAGAATGACAAATTCTTCAACTACCTTCAAATCTGAGGAAGGTAGCTAGACAAAATCACTCATCATCAGAATAATTTTTAGTTGATCATGTTTTGGCTTTGTAGTACAGTTTCTAACTTTTTCAGTACTTGGCCCTTGAAACTTTCTGACTAAGTAATAGGGTCAGCTGCCTAAGATCCTGCAGAATTCATTAGAAAATCTCATTACCTTGCAGTGTGGATATGTTATATATTTGTTTCTCCATTTATACTAATTTTTCTATCCCTGTGTCAGTCACCCCATAGGTATGACAGAAGTGTATGATGTATAAATTTGACAGTATTCAAAATAGATAAAGGTCATTAATTGTTAATAAATATCACCAGTCAATATAGAACTTTCTACCTCACTCATTTATTCAAACAATCTCCTGTTTCCCAGGTAATAATTGGTTGCATTAACCACCTTAAACTTTAAGTTTAGTTAAATGTGTCATTAATATCTAGGGTGGAAAAGTAAATTTAAAAAAATATCTATGGTCTGATTTTTTAGCTAATTTTAAAAGACGGTTATCATAAATCTCAGGAAATTTCTTTGTTTAAAAAAATTAGACAAATTAAATTTAACAGAGTTTAATGCAAAAAGTTATTTGTGAATCAGGCAGCCCTTAGAACCAGAATAGGTAAGGATCAACTCCATGCTGCTCCAGGGCATGCATGGTGGAATAATATTTATAGACAGAAAAAGGAAAATGACATACAGGAAATGGAAAAGACAAACAGTAACAGCCAGATTGTCTGCAGCTGTGATTTGCTTTATTTGAAAAATGGTTTGAACAGTTGGCAACCCTCAACTGGTTGAAACTCGACTGCAGTGATTGGCTGAGATTCAACTTCTTGTTACATGAGTTAATTAGGGTTTGTTTACGATCAAGTTCCAGTTCACTATGTATGAGAAAACATTAGGCCAAACTTAAAATATGGACCAAGGCAGCTTTAGGTCAACTTAATTCAATTTAACACTTTCTAACAATTATAAAATCTTAGTGGTAGCTTCTCTTCTTTAGTAAAGACAAGGGGCTTTTAAATTTTAGCTAATGATTTGTGTACTTCTAGGACTTTTTGACTAGCAAAATAACATGTGGTATAATTATTTCAGTTTGAGTGAGCTATGCAAGCTTTAAGTGTTCATCCTACTAAAAAAAAAACAAATTTATTAAAAGGCAATAACTTTGTTTTCCTGCATTATAAGGCTACCATTCATTTTCAAGATTAAATTAGCTAAAGAATTCATATAATAGAAATTAATTGATAATAGATTATCACAATGCTTATGATCCTGGACTATTTATTAGAGTGAAGTGAATATTAAGAAATCAACAAAAAAAACACATATATGAGATGAACACTACCCCCTTTATGAAGCAAATTTAAATAACAATGATGTGCAGACAGTAATACTTAACTGAATTTTGAATGTTAAAGTTATATTTAGCAAAAAAATAATTTTTTAAATAAAAAGCATTTATTTACCATTATTTTTTAAATGTACGCTCTTATGCTTTGTATTTATTACATTATTTTTCCAAGCAACATTATCATATAAAAATACACTTTACGGACATATAGAAATTAAGCAATTTTTCTTAGAATTTCATTTCATAGATAAAAGGACATTTCCTTGTGTTTTCAAGGTCAAACCTAAATGAAACAAGCCCATATTTGTTTAGCATAGCATTTAAGAATAAAAGTATTCTGACTTCTAGATTTGAATTTTTTTAGACATGTCTTCTATCTAACAATTATGTATTTTGCTCTTGAAATAAAAATAATCACTCATTTATCCTTGAGTTTAATAAAAACCTTTAACATTACTCAATTAGGGTATTCATTTTAAAGTTGATAAAAGAAAGAGTAGAATAAAATTATTCTAAAAGAGTTAGTCATAACCAAACCAGAAGCCAGAAATGATCACAAGAAAACATCTCTCAGGGGATAATTTAATAACATTACGACAAGTGTGGGAGTTTGTATACCACCTAGATGATTAGGAAAGGGGTTATTAGCTAAGCCATTGTCTGAAATCCACTGAATCACTGGACTCTTTGAAAAATGATTGGTCCTTTTTTTCTAAAGATGAGTTTTAAAATTTAGAGAAGCTCAAAGTGGCAGTACTGAAAGAGAAAAGAAACACAAATCTCGCACGGTTCTAAATTTTTCTCTGTAGTCCCAGAAGTAAGGTAAGACATCGAATCTCTGCTTTTATAATTTTAAGAAATAAAATTGGTGAACTTTACAGGATAGACTGCCAAGACCACCTTAATGCTTGGCTAAGTCATTGATGAAAGAAACTTTCACATGTAGAGGACAAGAAATAATATACTTTCGCAGTTACATTGTAAATCAATAGTAGTTTAATTTCATAATCTGTTTCCCTAAATTAAAAAAATATTGATTCAGTTGCTTAATTTTAATATATTTTAAAGTTCACAGGATTTTAAGTAGAAATGATTATATTAATCTGGCATTATCAGATATTTATTGTAGTATTTTTTCAACATGATATCAAAACTATTATAATAATAAAACCCTGAGTTGTTGGCTACCACGGTCTCCCACAGTCTGAAGGACGTGTTCCCTTCTATGTAGAGCAGCACAAAGGTGAGATCCTCTCATTCTTTAATGTATTTGACTATGTCATATGCCACCAAATGAACCTCTTGGTCAAGCTAAAGGGATAGACAAATGATTTTGATTTTATAAACAGCTGCTCTAAGAGAAAAGAATGTGTTTGTTGGCCAGGTACAGTGACTGACACCTATAATCCCAGCACTTTGGGTAGTGAAGGCAAGAGGATTGCCTGAGCCTAGGGGTTCGAGACCACCCTGGGCAACTTGGCAAGACATCTCTACAATAAATCAAAAACTTAGTTGGGTGTGGTGGCTAATGCCTGTAGTTCTAGCTACTTGGAAGGCTGAGGCAGAAGGATCGCCTGAGCCCAGCAAGTTGAGGCTGCGATGGCCATGAGCATGCCACTGTACTCCAGTCTGGATGACAGAGTGAGACTCTGACTCAAAAAAAAATGAGTTTGTTATGGAGATTTACAAATATAATCTTTACAATTCTAAAATGTAAGTAAACACTATAGAATTCACTCAACTACTCCACTGATCAAACAATACTAAGTATTTTTGTCATTATTTTCAAGTACAGAGTTTTATAAAAGCTAAATATCACAATTTATTTTCTAGGTATATCATCTGAAAATGAGAATTATAATTCTTCTTGGGCTCCTAGGAGCCACATTGTCAGCTCCAGTAAGTGAATTCACGGTACTACTGATCTCATTGTGTGAAGTCTGTAACAATCTCTTTTTTACCGTTTCTGTGTTTTATTTGTTTGTTTGTTCTTAGCTTATTCCACAGCGCCTCATGTCTGCAAGCAACAGCAATGAGGTTAGTTTAAATCAAACAATCTCCTTCTTTAAAAAATGGAAACTCAGAAGAGATAAAAGCCTTCACAGTATCATGCATTCACACCCACTAGCTCTTTGGTATCTCCAAACACATTTTTGACGCTCACGTTTGTTTTAGGTTACCTCTAAAATATTATTCTACCTTCCCTATTTGGTTGCAAATTCTTCCAAGACAAGGACAATATCTTTTATATCTTTTTATTATAATAGTACTTAATACAGGTGTCTACAGGTGTTTAAAAGATTAAAATGACGGTCTAAACCACTGAAATGGGTTACAGCTGGGCAATCTGACATACAACACAGAATGCACAATCCTTCCTGGGTTAAATCCCGGCTCTGTTTTAAATTCCACCTTTTAAGCACTGTAATTTGATGTGAGCTTAGTGAGAAGATGTCTCACTTCTTACAAAAAGCTCACCAACCAGCCCTGACTTGCACTATGTTTGTAATACACATTATTCGTAATCATTTTAGCATGTGTCATAATTTGTTTATATTATCTTTTCTAGTTACTTCTGAATCTTAATAATGGCCAACTTTTGTCACTACAACTTCAGGTACCTCCACATCAATAATTACCTTAAGGGGAATATTTTTCTAGTTCTCATTTCCTGAATGTGAAAAAAATGCTTCCTGATTCTGTTTCTAAAATCTCTATATTTAAAGTTATACATTTGTTCCATAGAGTCTAAATGATCACTTGTTTAAAGATTAAAGTAAAAACTATAATTTGATTAACATTTACATGTTGAGCACTTGGTGTGTGTGTGTATATATATACAGCTATGAGATAATTAACTGTTTTACACAAAGTCATACCATCTTACCAGTTGGGGGAGGAGGCGGGAGATGGGAACCGTTTTTTAAATTTTAAATTCATCTGGAAAATGCAGGCATTGTGTTCTTTTGTTTTGTTGTTGTTGTTGTTGCTGTTTTGAGTCAGAGTCTTACTCTGTTGCCCAGACTGGAGTACAGTGGCACCCTCACAGCCACCACATTCTCAACCAGCTGGGCTCAGGCCATCCTTCCCTCTCAACCTTCCAAATAGCTGGAACCACAGGCGCGTGGGCCACCATGCCCAGTTAATTTTTTTATTTATTGTCACCTGGCTAATTTTTTGATTTATTGTAGAGACAAGGTCTCGCCAAGTTGTCCAGACTGGTCTCGAACCCCTGTGCTCAGGCAATCCTCTTAACTCCACCTCCCAACATTGTGCTCTTTTATCAACCTCATTCTGCCCCATATTTCATGTGCTCATTGGGAATTTAGCATTACTTCATATTATTTGCATGGTTTATGGTGGGTGTTGTCTTTTTTAGTTATGAAACATTGAAAGTATAGAAATTGTTCATATTTTGTCTCTTTCTTGCTCGGGGCTGATTTTCAATTCTTTCTGTCATGATAGAGAAATTCCATCTTTCTTTTGCTTCCTTCCAGGGCCCATTTAATTCGTGGATTCCACCTTTCTCTGGGATTCTTCAGCAGCAGCAGAAGGCTCAAATTCCAGGACTCTCCCTGCTATCCTTATCAACCACAGACCGGTTTGCTGGACTGCTCCCAAATCAAATATCTTTCCCAGGACAGGCCAGTTTTGGCCAAGGAGCCCAGGCAGGCCAATTGTACCCCTCACAGCCTCAAACACCACTGCAGACACAACAAAACCCTGATCACGTAAGTCAGAGCTCTTTCATCTTATCCTGAGGAGAGAGAACAGCACATTAAATATGAAAATGAATGAATTAGTTTTTAGCAAACAGGAGTTTTTGAACAATAATTTCTTCCCATAATTTGTTTCTATCATCACTGAAAGTACTTCCTTACATTTTCTTATTACTAACATGAAAATACCATTTACATTAGCTATTTTAGGATACAGGCACAAACAGAAAAAGTCAAAGCAAATCAGGGACAAAATAGGGAAATTTCATCTTTTAAAAAAAGGCAGCTTGTGTAATGATAGCATATAAAATAAATAACACTGTTTTGTAATGAGAGATGATGTGGAAGGAAACTGATAATTATAGAAGAGTCAAGTAGTATAGATTTTTATGAAAAGCTCAACACAGCTGATAAACAACATAATTGATCTATAATCCTGTTTACTCGAACCCAGTAGGTTATAAAATTAATTATTCTAACATTGATAGGGTTTTCTATTTTAATATGATTATACTGGCTTACATTCATTTTAAAAATATTCCCTTTTTAAATGAAAATTTATTGCTTTGGAAGCCTCTAATACAAATGATACATTTTTATGGCTAGCCCTATGAAAAGCAGCTCAGGAATTTTAAGTAACAGAGTCAAGGTAATTTTTTATGTGATTTTTTTTGGTCAGGTGATGCCTTATGTATTCTCCTTCCAAATGCCTCAAGATCAAACACAGGTAAGTGATTAGAGTAACACTGTTCATAGAAAAAGACAGCTACATACACTCTCCATAATGCTTTCTTTTATATTTCTAGCTCTGATGGCTACAGCAGGGTTATAAAAACCCACACAAGGGTTCACTGTCGACATAACATTATTGCTGGCCTGGCATCAGTTTGGTGATGCTGAGCTCACTTAGCCCCTAAGAACAGGCAACTAAGATTTCAGGACTCCTGAATTTCCAGGGCATTGCTATGTTGGAAGTAAAGAGATCCTCAAGCCCCAGATCATGTCCTCTCTGCATCCAAAGAAAATTACAATGGACTGACTTTATCCAACTCTAAGTTTTGTTTCAGAGGGAAATGCATTAAACTCATAATATTTATGATATGGAAATGTGATACACATGCCCACATTATTTGGCAGTTATGAAATTCTGCTCAAAACATTCCCAGTTTCTTCTATATTTTAATTTAACTCTATTTTACAATCAAATGGTGGGAATTTTCATTAAATAAGGGAATATTTTTTTAATGCACGTAAGCTAGCATAATCATATTAAAATGGAAAACACTGTCAATGCTAGAATAATTAATTGATAATATCCTGTGTTCAAGTAAACAAGGTTATAGATAAATTATTATATTATTCATCAGCAGAGTGTCGACCTTTTCATAAAAAGCTGCACTATTTGCCTCTATTATAATTATATAGTTTTCTCCCACATCATCTCCCATTACAAAACAAAAGTTTCTTCTAGACACTATCTCATTCTATGACATAAGCATTTAGAGAATTAGATGTATGACAAATCTAATTACTTCATTTTAAGGATCAGGAAGCCTAGTCTTCATGAGATCAAACTTACAATCCTATTGAAAGTAAGTTGCTGAGTTGGAATGTGATTCACTACTCCTTCTGTCTTTTTCTTTAACCACCAAACTATGGGCTCTTCACCTTACTTTGCATCAGAATCTCTGGTGGTAATTTCAAAAATTCCAAATGCCTGGACCTTACCTCAATCCTAATGAATCAAAAGCCATGAATAGATGCTAAATATAGTTATCTTCTAAAATGCTCAAAGGTGATTATGATTCTTAACCAGAATTAAGAGCCGCTGTACAAAGTATACTCCTTCTGAAACCATAGTTGTTGTTTTGTTAATTCTGCCTAATATAGTCTCTTACTTAATGATGCAAAAAAAAAGCGCACAAAATGAATGTATGGACTATGATCTTCATTTTCTATAAACACCTACTCATATATAAACACATACAAGCATATAAGTGTGTAAGACGGTGATAATTAAGGAGAAAGCATATGATAATGTAGATAGTAAAGTTGCAGGTGATTTTGTTTGTTACTTGTCTATTAATTGATTTTCCAAATATTCTAAAATGTATATGAATTATTTTGATAAAATGTCAATTATTAAAGGCAATACATTCATGACATTTCATTCATTACGGCAGAACTTCCAATACCATGTCCTGCAGAATAAAGATTCTTTTTTTTTTTTTTTTTTTTTTGAGTTGGAGTCTCACTCTGTCTCCCAGACTGGAGTGCAGTGGCCGCTCCCGGCCACCGCAGCCTCAACCGGCTGGGCTCCGGCGATCCTTCCACCTCAGTCTTCCAAGTAGCTGGAACTACAAGCACACGCTACCACGACTGGCTAATTTTTTGATTTATTGTAGAGATGAGGTCTCGCTGCCCAGGCGGGTCTCGAACCCGCGGGCTCAGGCAATCCACTCACCTCAGCCTCCCAAAAGCACGGGATTACAGGCTGAGCCACTAGCCCGGCTTAGAATAATGATTCTGAAGAATATAGGGAATAAAGCTACATAAGCTATCCTTCCTTTAGGCATTGCAAGTAATTTTTATATAAAGTTTCCAAGATGCCCTTTAAAATAAAATGCTCCTTTATACTTGATTGAACTCACTATTTCCTAAATATGCTTTACCTAGCAACCTTAAAAATAAAGTCCAGTGTCATGTGGGATACAAGTTATTTTTAAACTTGGAAAGGGCTGCTTCATCCATTTTTTTGTTGTTCATACTTAATCATATAAAACTTTATATACAAAACACAAATAATATTGGCATTAGATGATAAAAAGGAGGACCTATGCTGATCTAATGGAATCTCATATTCTTCTCTTGTAACAAATAGATGCTTCAATACTATCCAGTTTACATGTTCCTACCCTGGGAACAACCTCAGCAAACAGTCGCACAGTCACCTCAACAAACAGGACAGCAGCAATTTGAGAAGCAGGTACTGCAAATGTTTAATTTTTATCAGACTAATTCACCTGGGAAAAGAGAAAATAAAGTACAGTCCCAAGAAAAGAGTATCTGAATATATTTAAGGCAAATACTACACAGAGTGAACCGGTAGGCAGAACGGCAATCTATTGTTCTCTCCTATATATAATTTTCTTAGACTAATTTGGAAATGATCCCCACAGCTATATTTTTAATAGATGAAATTATTAAGATAAAATCAAGGTCGAAAGCTGAATAATCTTGGAGTTTTCTTACATTTAAAATTCACTAGCAGTCACCGTTCCATATATGTGTGTGTATGTATATAGCGTATAGTGAGACACAATTAGATGCCATTATATTAAATTGTGCGAAACGGCAATAAATTTTTAGAATTCTGATGTAAATCCACCTGGACCACACTTAATTGGCACTGTTTTTGTTAGAATGAAAATGTCCTTTTTAAATAGTTTAATCATTCCAAAAACTGTCATTGCAAGTTAGAGAAAACTTAAAATTATGCTTTAAATAATTGACAGTATTAATTCTAAACGTCATATTGCTTTAGAGGGAGAAAGAGAGAGCTTTATCATAGAAATGATGTGGTATTAAAAGGATTCTTGCTAATATAACAATAATTAATTTTTATCAACTGGAACATATGAACTTTTAAAAATCAGTTAATATAAAAAATAGTTAAAGTAATCATTTATCACAAGCTTATGACAAAAGCATCAGAGCCAATCTAATGCATTTTTTCCAAAAATCTGACAGATACCATTCTATACTCAATTTGGATACATTCCACAACAAGTAGAACCTGTGAGTACATGCATAAATTTTCATTTTTAAAAATTATTTGAAACTACTTGCTTTGTTGCCTACTAAATGCATAAATGCCCTTCAGCCAAAGATCACCAGGAAAACATCTCTAATTGAACAAAGTTGGATGTATTTATTCACTCATTACGAGAGGAGAAAGCACACATGGAGAATCTTGGATGTCTTAACAGAAAGATATTAGAATGATTTCTCTTAAGTTTGGGGCTTGTTTTAGGTGATTTGGGGGAAAGTTCAAAAAGGTGGTGGTTCACTCTACACTGTTTGTTTTCACGAAGTGGGAATGGTTCCATAATTATCTTAAGAATGCTCACCTAGAAGGCAAGGATGACAGTGCAAGACAAATGTTGTAGTTGATAAAGAAGCAACAATCACTTGCATGAGCCAGGATTTGAGGACACCTGGTATTTTTGAGACTAGGATGATGATCTTTAGAAGAGATTAGGAAGTTGTCTTGTTTTTTTCTAGCCTTGTCTGATGTGTTGTTCTACAGGGTTGTTTGTACTCACTAGAACACCAAGGCCTCACAGAAAATATTAGGAAGCAGCGCTTCCAGAACTGAAGCAGAACTGGGGTGTCGAGTCAGTTCTCTAATAGCAGGAATATTTTACTCCTTTTCAATAAGCTGTTATTTCCGTTTTTAAGAAGATAGTTTAATTTGGGAAGTGCTTAACTATTTTGAGTGGTCCAAGAACATATTTATTTATGCACTAATTTGGACTCTTAAAAACTTTGTATTTGTTAAGGCTATTCCAGGAGGACAGCAGCAACTAGCTTTTGATCCTCTCTTAGGCACAGCCCTCGAAACTGCAGTGATGGTGAGATTCCTTACAACACTTTGACAGCTACTGGAAATCAATAACGACAGCTTACTGAGCTAATTTCATTTCAATGTCAACTTTATTATGATTCTATCAACAATTATTGCTTCTGCCTCTTGTAATCTTTTGCTAGCCAAGATTCAATTCACTAAGTTCATCAAATACTTTTGAGTACTCTGCCAGGTACTCTTCTAAGCATCTTTATTTAAAAGCAGGTATTAAGAAACAATCATGTTTGCTAGCATATATTCATCGTCTTTCTAAAATATAGCTTATGGCCTAAAAAACTAATAAAGGCAACTTATTTATTTAACAGAATGCTTGCTTTGCATCTTGATCCTGTTGCTTTATATTCTTCCCATTTTTTGCCTTCTACTTGAACTTGAAACCCCTTTGTTTTTATCCTCATTCTCTATAGCCATCAGGAGGAGTGATACCATACTTACAAAACGAAGTAATAAACTTTAGGCAAGACAAGGCAGGAGTTATTATGCCTTCAACTTCACCAAAACCCAGCACAACCAATTTTTTTACTTCTGCTATAAACCCAGCTATTACCCCAGAGCTTCTGGAAGAGAAGGTAGAGTAATCAAAAATTCATTTTATGTAAGAAATTGTTGTCTAATGGAAATTACAGAGATAAAGTTAGTGCTTCATTTATAGGACTTAGTCATGGAGGTAATATGACAGCTAATGATATAGTTGAATATGTAGTCTTAACCCTATGTAAGGTGGCCAACAATGATTTTTTATAATTAACCAGAATACAATTTAATTTTAATTTAATAGGGGTTGCTTATGAATGCCTTTTTCTCACTAGGCCAAGACTGATAGCCTAAAAGAACCGTAAGGAGTTGTCTTAACCATTCAGAGCTTTTGGTAGGTATTGGCCAAAAAGTCATGCCTTAAGTGCCATAACCAAAAGAAAAAAAAAGTCATGCCTTAAGTGTAAACCAAAAGAAAAAAAATGGTTAGAGGCACTAACGAAGAGTTCTTACCAAAATGATTATGAAAAAAGTTCATGCTTACATCTGTCTACAAAATTAATAATTATGAGACTTCAACAATTTTTTTTTAGAAAGCAAGACTTATTGAGAGGACAGAAAAGCTCCCAGAGTGGGAGGAGGACCTGAGAGGGTTGCCCAACTTCAACAATTTATAAAAGGCAAAATCAAATTTTAAGAATCATGTCTGCCTATATTATGACCTGGTTTAGGTTACAACAACACAAATACTAAATATACTAGGTCCATATAAAAGACATTCCATAGACACTGTATAGAATCAGTTCTCCCAAATCATTTCCAGTTCCAAGATAAACATTGTAATAATGGCAACATAGCCATGTTAGTGTGGAATAAAATAAAATCTCAAAATAATTAAGAAATTGCACGATGACAAGGAAACTTCAAATTCTATGACTTTTATTCCCAGACAAATCTTGGCAAATTACCTGTCTTAATTTACTTGGTTACCAGGAGGCTACAGTGGGAGTATGATAGAAGAACAGGCTAGGAATGGCATCAAAAAGTAAAAACACAATAAAAAGCTAACAATTTAACCCGAAATGCAAACTGAGAGACAAAGGTTTTTGAATCTCCTCTCTGCTGTCTATGAGTCTCTTCTGATTCCTCCTTCTATGAAATTAAATATTCAGCACTCTTAAGATGAAAAATGTTTATAAAAATACAATCAAAAGTGAATAGTATTAGTTCCTCTTTAGAAAAGTCTCCTTGCTAATGTGCTATTTTATACAATGCAAATTCATTCAAGTTATTTCATCAGAAATGCTAAAGAGATTTCATTATTTTATGACCTATTTCTGTGTGATATCAATGCCAGTGAAATAAAGCTTTCTAATTCTCTGATATGAAATTTATAAGGTATTTAGAAAATTCTACACAAAACAGTCTAACTGTATTAACATGTCCTTCTATCATATTTTTCAGAAAAAGAGATGTGGTGGTCCCTTGGATATCATTTTAGGCTATTTGCTTCCTCAATGCTAATATCAGTTCTTTGGAATATACAAAATATCTTGACTTTTCTCTTGAATTTGTTTTTACTTATAAATGGTATTCTGTTCTATAACTGTGTAATAGAAAAATAATACAATCATGTAATGAGTCTTATTTTTACAAAATGATTTTCTTTTCAAATATTCTATTACTGTATATCTAGAATGTAGCAACATTGAAAATAAAGCCAATATCATTAAATCAATTGAGTAATTGCATTAATAAAGGATGCCCCTGGAAAATGGTGTCATCCATGAAAACCGATACACCATCATTGGATTTATGATGTGTGTGGTGATTGAGACTGATGAACTAAAATATGTACCTAGCTTTGGCATATCATCTCCTTAATCCCCCCAGGCCCATTCAGTCAGCTTTCTTCTGATGCACTCTTGATGAAAATCAAAGTTATTTGATAAAGAACATTGTGAAGTGTGGACTCCTAATATAACACAGCTTCATAGAGAGACAGAGGTTCTTATCCAAAAGGACAGATTCCCAGGAAGATGTATGATTGTTTGAGAGAGGCTGCCTCCAATAGTAAATAGATTTTGGGTTTCATCAGATCTGACTTTCAATCTGGCTTTGAGCCTGTAGCAAGTTACTAAACCTGTCTAAGTGTCGGTTTTCTCAAGTGTATATTGGAGATTAAAATACCTTTTATAATTTCTGCAAGAACTACATGAAATAACACATGTAAGATACCTGGCTCATACAGAGTACTCAGAAAATGTTAATTTTCCTCTTTTCACATGTGAATATGAAAGTACTTGTACTTTTTCTTAACTTTGGACCATCAGCTGAAGTTTTGAGAAAATAGAAAAATTGGTATACAATGTGCTCCATGTCTGTGCAATGATGTGTGTGAGTGAGTGTGCATGAAAGGAAAAATGAATGAGTTAAGTGAATGAATGAGTGAGGGAGCAAATATGCATTCGGTGGCTTCCAATAACTTTGGTGAATATTCCAGGCTTTGAAGTAGATCACAATTCCTGGAATCTTACCTGTTTCAGCATTTAATAACATTATGACCCTTGAATCTGCCACTTATCCTAACAGAAGAGTAATCAATATTCATCTAGTCTACCTTCATTTTATTCTGTACCCTTTTCCCCTAAGTAGGTGTGTTACATAAATATAATTCTGGCTAATTGACTAATCTTTTAAGACTTGGAGTGACATATGAGCCAAACCTGATGTCTGATAAAACTCAGGTATTTAGCAACTATGACCTTTGCGTCTCAAAATTTCAACAGTTCTTAGGATTGTTAAAAATTGGCATGAGATAATTCATGTTAAATTCTTAAATAAATCCTGGAACACAGCAAGTACTCAGCTTTTCTCTTTGAGGAAAAGGCTAAAAAGGGTGACCAGAGACTAAAAAGGAAAAATCAACACAACATAATTATTCTGTTCAAGAAGGGATAGTGAAGAACTCAGAAAAACATACATAAATCTATGAATTAGGCTATAAGTAACTCAAGAGTGCAGCAATATGAGGGGATACAATAATAAATAATTTGAAAAAATGAATATATTTATTTTATGCGTCAACTTGACTGGGTTAAGGGATGATCAGATAGGGGGTAAAACATTATTTCTGTGTGTGTCTATGGGATGTTGCTGAAAGATATTAGCATTTAAATCAGAAGACTTCCAGCTTCTGTCCATTGAGCAAAATGTTGACTGTGGGTTTACTGTGGCTCTTATTATTTTAAGGAATGATCCTTCTATGACTAGGTGTTCAAGAGTTTTTATCAAGAATGGATGCTGGATTTTGTCAAATGCCTTTTTTACATCTAATGAAATAATCTTGTGGTTCTTAGTTTTAGATATATTAAAGTGCTGAATTACTTTTATAGTCTTGCAAATGTTGAACCAGTCTTGCATGCCAGGAATTAAGCCTATCTGGTCATGACGGATGATCCTTAAGATGTGTAATTGTATCCTATTTGCTAGAATCTTGTTAAGAATGTCTGTGTCTATGTTCATCAGAGAGACTGTCCTGTAATTCTCTTTCCTTGATGTATGTTTGCCAGGTTTGAGTATCAGTATTATGTTAGCTTCATAAAATGAGTTAGGGAGAATTCCATTGTTCTTGATTGCCTGAAACACTTTCGGTAAGATTTATATAAGCTCTTGTATATCTTATAGAATTAAGCTGAGAAATCATCTGGTCCAAGACTTTTTTTTTTTAATGGGGAAGTTTCTCATGGTTAAGTCAATTTCCTGGATTGTTACTGGTCTGCTTACAGTTTCAACTTCTTGTTGTTTCAAACTTGGAAGGTGTATGATGCAAGAAAATTCTATTTGCATACAGGAGTTCAGAGTAATCTCTGATAATCTTTTGAATTTCTTCAGGGTCAGTTGTGACATTGTGTTTTTTGATAGACAGGTAGAACCTCGTCAAACTGAAAGGTTCTCTAAAGCAAAAGAAATCATCAAGAGAGTAAAGAAATGACCCACAGAAAAAATACTTGCAACTTATGCATCTGACAAAGGTCTAATATCCAGGATCTATAAGGAATTCAAATAAAGTGAATGAGAAAAAAAAACCATTAAAAGGGGGCAAAGGACATGAACAGACACTTCTCAAAGGATGACATACAAGCAGCCAACAGACACATGAAAAACTGCTCAACCTCACTAATCATCAGAGAAATGAAAATCAAAACTATGATGAGATTCCAACTAACACCAGTAAGGATAGCTATCATCAATAAGTCAAAAAACAACAGGTCCTGGTGTGGCAGCAGAGAAAAGCTAACGGTTCTACACTCTTGATGAGAATGTAAGCTAGTTCAACCTCTGTAGAAAGAAGTATGGCAATTTCTCAAAGAACTAAAATTAATCTTCCATATTATCTAGCAATACCTCTCCTGGAAATATACCCAGAAGAACAGAAATCATTCTACCAAAAAGGCACCTGCACACACATATTTATCATCTCACTATTCACAATAGCAAAAACATAGAACCTACCCCGTTCCCCTCTAAAGTGGACTGGGTAAAGAAAATGTGGCACAAAAACATGATGGAGCATTATGCAGCCATACAGAGAATAAAATCATGGCCTTTGCAGCAACTTTAATGCAGTTGAATATGATATTTATTTTATGTGTCAACTTGACTGGGCCAAGGGATGATCAGACAGTGGGTAAAACATTATTTCTGTGTGTGTCTGTGGGATGTTGCTGAAAGATATTAGCATTTAAATCAGAAGACTTCCAGCTTCTGTCCATTGAGCAAAATGTTGACTGTGGGTTTACTGTGGCTCTTATTATTTTAAGGAATGATCCTTCTATGACTAGGTATTCAAGAGTTTTTATCAAGAATGGATGCAGGATTTTGTCAAATGCCTTTTTTACATCTAATGAGATAATCTTGTGGTTCTTAGTTTTAGATATATTAAAGTACTGAATTACTTTTATAGTCTTGCAAATGTTGAACCAGTCTTGCATGCCAGGAATTAAGCCTACCTGGTCATGATGGATGATCCTTAAGATGTGTCTACTAAGCGTGAAATAACATCCTCTTGTTTGAGTCTTCTGCATGTGGTCAGCCAGTTTTCCCAGCACCATTTAATGAACAGGTTCTCCTCTCCCCAGTGGTAGATGGTGGAGGCTTTGTCGAAGATGAGTTGGTTAAGAAATTGAGGTTTTGCTTCTGGAATCTCAATTCTATTCCATTGGCCTATATGCTTGTTCCTGTACCAATACCAAGCTGTTTTGATTATTGTAGCTTTATAGTAAAGTTTGAAGTCTGGTAATGTGATACCACTTGCTTTGTTTTTTTGCTGAGGATTGTTCTGGCTATTCTTGGTCATTTGTGTTTCCATATGAATACCTGTATTGTTTTTTCTAGCTCTGAGTTGAATGTTGCTGGTAATTTGATGGGTATTACATTAAATCTGTAGATTGCCAAGACCCCTATCTATCCTCATACACAAAAATTAACTCTAAATGGAATCAGAGACCTAAATGTAAAACCTCAAACCATAAGAACCTTAGAAAATGCAGGACACTCCCTTATGGAACTTGGAACTGGCATCCAATTCCTGAACAAAACCCAAAATGCACAGGTCGTAAGAGATAAGATAGACAAGTGGGACCTCATTAAACTGACAAGCTTCTGCAAGGCCAAACAAACCAGCAAGAGAGCAGAGAGACAGCCCACAGAGTGGGAAAAAGTGTTTGCCAACTCCAGGTCTGACAAAGGCCTAACATCTTGGATCTACAAGGAACTCAAACATGCTGAAAAGAAAAAAACAAACAACCCCATTACAAAGTGGGCAAAAGATATGAACAGACATTTCACAAAGAAGACATACGAGCGGCCAACAGACACATGAAGAAATGTTCAACCTCACTAATCATCAAGGAGATGCAAATTAAACTACACTGAGATACCACCTAACTCCTGTCAGAATGGCCATTATCAATAACTCAAAAAATAACAGATGCTGGAGAGGATGTGGTGAAAAGGGAACACTTATACACTGTTGGTGGAAGTGTAAACTAGTGCAACCTCTGTGGAAAGCAGTGTGGCGATTCCTAAAAGCTCTAAATATCAACCTCCCATATGACTCCGCAATTTCCCTACTGGGAATATACCCTGAAGAACTCAAATCACTCTATCAAAAAGATACCTGCACACATATGCTTATAGCAGCACTGTTCACAATAGCAAGAACCTGGAACCAACCATGCTGTCCATCAAAAGAGGACTGGTTAAAAAAAATGTGGTACATATACACGATGGACTACTATGCAGCCATAAAAAAGTTTGCATATTTGTATACCTAACCTTTAACTGTACCCCACAATTTTAAAATAAAAAAAATGTTTAATATATAAAAAAATAAATAACATCCTTTTTTAAAAAGTACATATCTTAATTTAAAATACTATATTAGCCGGGCTCGGTGGCTCAGCCTGTAATCCCGCGCCTTTGGGAGGCTGAGGT